ACAGGGTGACGTTTATACAGGTTTAAGAAATTATAAAAACTGCCCATAGAATACTGGCTTGCTTTTCTTTTCTTTTCAAGCATGTCTGTGAACATAGCCATGATACATCATCAGAATCCTTTATTCAGAACATATGACTAAGGGTCCTTCCAGACAGGCCCTATATCCCAGGATCTGATCCCAGGTTTTCTGTTTATCCCAGATTATCTCACAGCACAGGCTCATATAATCCAGTTTAAAGCAGAAAGGCTGGGATCTGAGCCTGGGATGTAGGGTCTGTCTGGAAGGGTCCTAAGGGTTGCTGAAAAAAGAGGTGTTAAATATTGTTTAGTACAGACCCACACAAACTCCTTCATTTATTCTCCCAGATTCAAAACTTCTGCTGGGAATTAATGTTAAGGCAACCATGATAAATGGGGCCTATTGTTCCTGACTCAAAAGTTTTGGTGGTTTTCCCTTATGTAAAATTCTAACAACCACTCCTCACAGAGACAACAAAAAAGCTATCAACTGAATTATCAATGGAAGGAAATCGTATAAACCCTTCAGCTATCTATAAATACCTGTGTGATCTGTATTGTTTACATAGGCACCTGTCTAATCTCAGAAACTAAGCACAACAAGAACTGGTTAGAAATTGGATAGGACCAAAAAAATACTTAGTGATAGCTCAAGGCCCTTTCACACAGCCATATAACCCAGAATATCAAGGTAGAAAATCCCACAATATCTGCATTGAACTGAGTTATCAGTCCACACTGTCATACATTCCAGTTCAAAGCAGAAAATGTGGGATTTTATTCAGCTGTATGGAAGGGGCCTCAGAGCCCTTCCAGACAAGCCCAAAATCTTTAAATAGGGTGGACCTGAGCTGCCACAACAACTCCACCAGCTCATTGAACAAGAGTGGGTGACCGGGAAAATCCCAACAGACTTCAAAAAAGGGGAAGGAACTATCTCCCTTCTAACCTCAGCTGGGAAAATCCTCACATTGCAAACAGCCTTCTACCGCTCTCAGAAGACACCCTCCTGGAATCTCAGGATGGCTTCTGCCCCTCCAGAGGAACAGTGGACATGATCTTCACTGCAGGACAGCTCCAAGAAAAAGGCAGGGAACAAAATCAACCTCTGTACATGGCTTTCATTGACCTTGCAAAGGCATTAGAAACAGTGAATTGCAGTGCTCTCTGGACCATTCTGCAAAAAATTGAGTGCCCTGACAAATTTGTGAACTTTTTGCAGCTCCTCCACAACAACATGATGGTAACAGTCTTGGACAGTCACCGAACACAATCCAGAGCAGAAGAGAAAACTGGCAAAAGAAGGCTCTCCATGGACAGTTCCCGGCAAAAATTGAGAGACAAATTGACAAAGAAAAAACATGGCTGTGGCTCACAAATGGAACTTTGAAAAAGGAGACGGAGGGCCTGATTCTGGCAGCCCAAGAACAAGCCATTAGAACCAATGCCATCAAAGCCAGAATTGAAAAGTTGACAACAGATCCCAAATGTAGACTCTGCAAGGAAGCAGATTAAACAATAGATCACATCCTCAGCTGCTTCAAGAAGATCCCACAGATAGATTACAAGCAGAGGCATAAAACCGTTGCTCAGATGATAAACTGGAACCTGTGCCACAAATACTATCTGCCTGCCACAAAGAACTGGTGGGATCACAAGCCGGAAAAAGTTACAGCAAATGAACACATCAAACTCCTCTGGGACTTCCGAATTCAGACAGACAGAGTTCTAGAGCACAATATTCCTTACCTCACGATCGTGTTAAAAAACAAAGTGTGGATTGTCGATGTTGCAATCCCAGGTGACAGCAGGATTGAAGAGAAACAACTGGAAAAGCTGACACGATATGAGGATTTAAAGATCAAACTACAAAGACTCTGGCACAAGCCAGTCAAGGTGGTCCCAGTGGTGATCGGCACACTGGGTGCAGTGTCTAAAGACCTTGGCCTGCACTTAAACACAATCAGCACTGACAAAATTACCATCTGCCAGCTGCAGAAGGCCACCTTACTGAGATCTGCATGCATTATTCGCCAATACATCACACAGTCCTAGACATTTGGGAAGTGTCCGACGTGTGATCCAATACAACAGCCAGCAGAGTGATCTTGTCTGCTGTGGACTCATCTTGTTGTATTTCAAATAATAATAATAATAATAAATAAACTTTATTTTATAAAAGTATGATAGTTGGGAGCCAGTGCTCATAGCGCTACGATGGTTGCACAATGTGGCTCCCACGAAACAGCACATTGAGTGAGAAACAGCTGCGGGAGGATACCAGTGAAGTAATGTAACGCAGGTGGGACAGGATAACAGTGAAATAATATAACAGTTTCTGGATTTGATTCATATTTCACCACTGCTCATATTTCTCCCCTCCTTTTTATCCTTCCTTCCAATGCAACTATGTTTTTGAACGTCTTTGCATAGGATCTCCGGACAGCCTACTTAACTATGCTTGCCTGTTTCCCCTCCCCCTTTCTACCAAACTACCTTGTCGACTCTGTCCCAGCTGTATCTCTCACAGCGTCTGGTCTCTCGCGCACATGGTGCTGTGTCTTGCGCACGTGTTCTCTTCTCTAATTCAGAGCCACGTTACGCAACCAGCGTAGTGCTACCAGCACTGGGTCCCAGCTATCATACTTTCACCCTTTACTTATATCCCATCACCATCTCCCTGAAGGAACTCAAGGTGGCTTACAAGGCACTCCAGGGTGAACATATAACATCCAATAGGCAAAAAAGTATAAAACAAGTCACATAAAATTATTGCAACAAGTGTAAGTATATCCCAAGATCCAATCCCAGGTTTCCTTCTTTTGAAGCTTTTAAACAGAGGCTGGATGGCCATCTGTCAGGGGTGCTTTAAATGCAATATTCCTGCTTCTAGGCAGGGGGTTGGACTTGATGGCCCATGAGGTCTCTTCCAACTCTATGATTCTATGATATGATTCCACACTGCCAGATAATCTGGGATAAACAGAAAACCTGGAATCAGATCCTGGGATATAGGGCCTGTCTGGCTCTCAGAGGAAGAAACTGGAGAAACAAACACCTGTTTCTCTCATAACACAATCCTATTAATGTAATGTATTTCCTCAATTGTAGGATGCCCTTTTCATCTATGAAAAAATTTCTAAAATGAGATGCATTTTAGAATTCAGTATATATACTGTTGGATGTTACTGAAATTATAATTGATGAAATATTGTAATTGGGTCATCATAAGTGAACAGGAAACTTGAAGCATGCATATATATATATATATATATATATATATATATATATATAATACACACACATAGATATTATTTACTTATTTTTTGAGGTATTTCTATCCCTTTCCTTCTCAACCCCCCGAAGGGGGACTTAGGATGGCTTACATTTGGTAGCAATTCGATGCCGCTACATATAACAGAGCAATATAATAACAATTAAAACAATGAGTAAAACTGGGTTGTTGTAGGTTTTTTTCGGGCTATTGGCCATGGTCTAGAGGCATTCTCTCCTGATGTTTCACCTGCTTCTATGGCAAGCATCCTCAGAGGTAGTGAGGTGAGGATTCCGGCCATGAAAGCCTTCGACAATGAGTAAAACATTCATTAAAACAGTAAAAAACAGTATTAACAGCCGTATCACCATTCCAGTCAATTCCATATCCAATTCCATGTCCAAAGAGCGATCTATGTCTCTTGTCCAAAAAAGCCTGGTCCTAGAACCACGACTTCAATTTCTTCCTAAATGACAGGAGGGACTGAGCCAATCTTACCTCAGTGGGAAGCGAGCTCCACAGGCGGGAGGCCACAGCCGAGAAGGCCCTGTCTCTTGTCCCCGCCAGACGTATTTGTGAGTGAGAGCAGGGCCTCCCTGGATGATCTTAAATTGCAAGGCGGGACGTAGAGGGAGATGTGTTCGGACAAGTAAGCTGGGCCAGAACCGTATAGGGCAGTGGTTCTCACCCTGTTGGTCCCCAGATGTTTTGGCCTTCAACTCCCAGAAATCCTAACAGCTGGTAAACTGGCTGGGATTTCCTGGAGTTGTAGGCCAAAACACCTGGGGACCCACAGGTTGAGAACCACTGGTATAGGGCTTTAGGGGAGGCTGAGCGAAGGAAGATAGATGCTTTTGAACTGTGGTGTTGGAGGAAAGTTCTGAGAGTGCCTTGGACTGCATGAAGATCCAACCAGTCCATCCTCCAGGAAATAAAGCCCGACTGCTCACTGGAGGGAAGGATACTAGAGACAAAGTTGAAGTACTTTGGCCACATCATGAGGAGGCAGCAAAGCCTAGAGAAGACAATTATGCTGGGGAAGGTGGAAGGCAAAAGAAAGAGGGGACGACCAAGGGCAAGATGGATGGGTGGCATCCTTGAAGTGACTGGATTGACCTTGAAGGAGCTGGGGGTGATGACGGCCGACAGGGAGCTCTGCCGTGGGCTGGTCCATGAGGTCACGAAGAGTCGGAGACGACTGAACGAATGAACAACAACAGATAGATAGATACAATACATTTCCATTTACACAAACAGTGTCACAGGATTCCTTCCTTGGCTAGGAAGTGTCTTATGTCAGGAGAGAGACTGCTAGAGAAGGAGAAGCAGCTTTGTTTGTTTCCCCCCACAGGAGACCCTGCTGGGAAAGAGCTGTGGGGCCAAATTAGCCAGCCTCAAGGCCCCTCCCCGCTTCCCGGATTTCCCAGCCTCCAATACGCGATGGCTCTTCCAGAGAGGAAGCGTCCCCTCCTGTTCCCAAAGGGGCGGAGTCCCGCTCCCATCCCGCAACAAACAGCTCCTGCGTGTCAGCTGCCCAGCCGCCGGGCTTCCTTTTTCCTGTGAGGGAAGCGACGCCCGACACGCACACAGGCACACAGCCGCTTCCTGCGTGAGGGGAAGGGAGCACGACGCTTGGATTCCCCTCCCCCCCCCCCATTCCCACGGCCTCCCCCCTGACAACATGGCCCCTGGCTGGCCACACCTACCTGTCTTCTCGTGGTCATAGCCCACCACAATGAAATAATCCGCCAGCCTGGCCATGGCGGCGGAGGGCCCTCCTCGGCTCCCTCCAGGCCTGCCCACGCTGCCCACGCCAACGTCGCCGCCGAGGAGCTCAGCATCCTCCGCTCGGTCCCGGCGCCAGAAGCAGCCGCGGCGGCGGCAGCAGCAACACCTCAGCCATGTTGGGCACTCACAAGACGCGAGTGCGCATGCGCGCTCCTCCTCTTCTCCCCCCGCCTTCCCCTCTCCCTCTGTGACCTCGCGCGCGGGGGCAACACTGAATGAAGCCCGGGCAGTGAGTGGCAAGAGGGTCTCCTCTCTCCTGGCTTGTTTGGTATCTCCCTCGTTCACTTCAGGGCGGCATGGTCTTTAGTCCTCGTCTTGGAAGGCTCAGCCATCCTCTTCAGTCTGGGGCTGCTTTCCTGCTTGGGAAGTTCAGGCGAAGCTTTCTTAGGAGAGGAGCACAAGCTGCCTTCTGCTAATCACCTCTCAACAAAGGTTTGCTCTAGGCACTGTCAGGCCATTATATGCTAATCAAGGTGGTCAGTTGAAACATTCACACCTAGCTCCAGCAGACAAGAGTCCTTTGTCTCCCCCTGGTCATTCCACAGATATATAAACCCTTTTTCCTAGTTCCAACAGACCTCACTACCTCTGAGGATGCTTGCCATATATGCAGGCAAAACGTCAGGAGAGAATGCCTCTAGAACATGGCCCCCCCCCCCCCCCCCCCCCCCCCCGAAATTCTCATGGTGGTCCGCGAGAAGGCTTACTGGTACATTATTTAAACTGTTATGTTTATTCATATCATGATCTGATCACCATGCTCAATATATCCCATATGCATGGGGGTATTGGGGTAACGATACAAAAGGTTTGCTAGGGTAGACCCTTTCCTCGGACTCCGCCCCCCCCCCCCCGAAACAAACTCAGCCCCCCCCCAATCGAAATCCTGGATGCAGGCGAAACGTCAGGAGGGAATGCCTCTAGACCATGGCCATATAGCCCGAAAAAACCTACAACAACCCAGAAGCTGCCTTTCTTGGCTTTCAATAATAGGGTAGCATGTCATGTTTCAGCCCAGGAATTGCCATGGAGGAAGCGAAACTGAGCTCAACACATCTACACTCTGGAATCAATGCAGTTTGACACCACTTTAACCACCAGGCAGGCTGTGGAATCCAAAAAAATAGACTTGCATTGCCCTGAGCGAAATAGAAAAGGCACGGAGAGATCAATATGCAGAAAACCTGTTGCTGCAAAGCTGCATAATCTATCTCTTGTCACATAAGCCTTGACATCATCCTCATTTGTAAATCTCTATGTCAAGCGTAGGCAAACTTGGGCCCTGTTTCAGCTTAAGCAGCTGAGGGGGGAAAAGGAAAGGGCATGAGGCTGTTAGGAATGGTGGGAGTTGAAGTCCAACATGTTGGAGCATGTAAAAATCAGTTGGTGAGTGTCTTTCAACAGAAAGGAAGAAACCATGAAAATGAACAAAATCTGGCTACCAGTATTAAAAAACTCAAAAATTACAACAGCGAAACAACAGAGAGTAAACAATCAGGCACATCAAATCACTCTCAACAAAAGATTCCCCCCAGGCACTTCCAAGCCATTAAATGCTAATCAAGGTGGTCAGTTGAAACATTCACACCTAGCTCCAGCAGACAAGAGTCCTTTGTCTCACCCTGGTCATTCCACAGATATATAAACCCATTTTCCTACTTCCAACAGACCTCACTACCTCTGAGGATGCTTGCCATAGATGCAGGTGAAACGTCAGGAGAAAATGCCTCCAGAACATGGCCACATAGCCTGGAAAAACCTACAACCACCCAGTTGGTGAGTGTGTTAACTGAAAAATGCAAAACACGAAGCTGATTGATTGGGCCACGCCTAGAATGTAGCTGAGCCTGGGAGTTTTGGCAACAGTTACATGTTTATGTTTTCTGTGCAGGAGCTTGCCAAGACAGTAATTCTTGTTTCTTGGCTGCTGGAAGATCTCTCCTATGGACACCCAAGGACCATTTGAATATCTCTCAAAGGACATGTGAGTCAATTCAACTGTTCACATGACTGTGTATATGTTCAGGGCCATAGCCCGAAATCTGGTTTATTCAAGAATTTTAACTGGTTAACCAAGTTATGACTAAACCAGGTTTCTTTTTTAACCTGACACATTCAGGGCAGGGTTGAACTCCCCCCCCCCCCCCCCCCCCGGTCTAAGGCCCTGTATATGTTGCTCGTTATATTATTATTTACTGATCATCTGTGTGACATATCTTTTCTCTAACAAGACAGTGTGTGGATCTACTTATGATTTTCATTCCACCACAGAAAACACCTGGAGGGCCCAGGTTTTCCCACGCCTGCTCTATGTAAGAGAGTGAGATAGGATGCTTCTATACTTTAGAATTAATGCAGTCTGACACCGCCCAAACTGCTGTTGTGGTTTTACCAGACCTTGAGTTTTCTCAGCCAAAGAGGAGTAAAGGTGAAGGTTTTCCCCTGACATTAAGTCCAGTTGTGCCCGACTCTGGGGGTTGGTGCTTATCTCCATTTCTAAGCCAAAGAGCTGATGTTGTCGTACTGAACTGCAAATCCCAGGACTCCATAGCACTGAGTCAAGGCAGTTAGAGTGGAATCAAACTGCATTGATTCTAGATGCACCCCAAGCTTCAGTCATCCTGCTTGATATTTGTATGATTTCCAAACAAACAATTTCCCTATTGGATTGTGCATATGCCTTGAATCGCCTGAGAAGGGTGGTATACAAATACAGTAAGTAAATAAATAAATGTTTCGCAGTTTAGTTTTTCCTGTCTGCAAAGTTTGAGGATAAGTCTTTTTTAGTGGGGAAGAAGGGAGAAGAGCCGGAGAGTGCAGCAGTGTGACCCGTCAGCTGTTCTGTTTGTGGAGTCAGGCCGCTAAAGGAAGTACTATGCATTCTTTCAAAATCAGTGGCCTAAGGGCACATTTTTACTGTTTTTCAGTGAGCAGGCTCTCTCCTTGCTTTGCCCATTCAAATTTAAACCTACTGTCATTGACTCGGTTTTCTCTTTCCATTGAGTTGTTTTATTAGTTGGATAGAACAATCTACACTCGAAAATGTATTTTTTTTCCTGCTGTCCCCAGGCACAGAGACATCCCAATTTAAAGTGTTATACAGGCAGTCCCCAAGTTACAAACGTCCAACTTACAAATGACTTATGGTTAAGAAACTGATTGGAACAGTAGTGACTCCCACAATACACAGACTGGCACTTATAGATACATTAATTAGTTCACTAATTAATGTATGTAGTACTGAACTAAGGTTTGAACAGAATTATCCATTATTCATTTTTCATATGTATTAGTTATTGATTTGTCAATTAATTATCAGTTAGCCATGGCCAACAAATCAGGTCCTTGCAGTAGGTGTACAGTCATTCCGATATCCGACTCATAGTTAAGAATGGGGGTGCAGGGCCGGCCCTAGGTAATTTTCAATGGTAAGCAAACATTATTTTGGCGCCCCCTCCCCCCAACCAATCACTGAAAAATAAAACGTAGAAGGTAGAGGTGAATAAAAGAGTTACCTTACAAACCAGAAATTTACTTACAACATTATGTTTATATAGTTACATTACACAAATTAACTTTTTTAAGAATGCAAATATTTTACTAAACTTAGCAACAATTTTAAGTTTTTGTTGTTATTTTTGGTCTACAAGTACTACACAAAGGTTTCCTGGTCATGCTGTCTCTTCAGAGAAGATTTTTCAGACTAGGGGTTGCTAATAACAGAGAACTCAATCCCATGCTTGTTGGGTCTGTCAATCAGATTTGTTTTGGAGAACGCAGCCCCAGGAGAATAGACACCTCCTTTTTAAGAAAGTGACCTCTTGTCCTTCAAAAGTGCCATGCCAGCCTGGACCATTACAATGGGTGTGGCAACATAGTCAGCCTCTGGCCCCTTCACTTTAGTGGATACTTTAACATCCAGTTTTCCTTAACACAAATAAACTTGAACACTTTTAAAATTAAAAAGAGATTTTTCTGGCTTTCAATTTTGAAAACTCGTGTACTATTATATCTGTTTCCATTTCATCCAACAAGCCATTTTCAATGGCCAAGGTTGCTAGTCCACTCAAGCGCTCTTGACTCAAAGTTGATCTTAAATACGTTTTTATAAGTTTTCTAAGATCTACAGAGACACTCGCTGGAACACCTCAGCAAGCGAGAGTCCAAAAGTGGCAGGCTCAAACCCAGCACCTCAGCCCATGGCTGATACCAGATGAGAGACTCCCCCCTGGGCACACAGAGGACTGGGCGACTTGGAAATGGAAAGGAATCACACAGGATCATATTTTTGCAGTCCATTAAGTGTGTTGATGACAAATCAGATAAAGGAATACTGGGGAAATTAATATAAAGCAGTGTGTATAAAGGGACATTACATTTGGTAATCTAATGCAGGCTTTAAAAGGTTTTAAAGATCAAGTCAGGGTCTGCTGCAGTTTTTAGTTTTGGATATGTTTTTTATGGATTTTAACTGAATTTTTAAAATACCAATGATATTTAATTCCATTTTAATGTTTGCATATTTGTGGATTTTAAACTGTACTGAAATGTTTTTAATCTAAGCCAACTTGAGTCTTCTTGGGGAGAGAAAAAGCAGGGTATAAATAAACATAATAATGTGTTGTGGAAGGCTTTCATGGCCAGATCACTGAGTTGCTGTGAGTTTTCTGGGCTGTATGGCCATGTTCCAGAAGCATTCTCTCCTGACATTTTCCCCACATCTATGGCAGGCAACCTCAGAGGAACAAAATCTGGCTACCAGTACCCTCTAAAATAACCCTCTAAAATCAGAACAATAAATAAAGAGCAACACTAAAAAAGGGGGAATTCCTGACATGAAGCAATCAGGGCCAGTTAACCGCTCCCAACAAAGGATTCCTGGGCAGCAACTAGCTCGGCTTCGAAGCTGCAAGGCCATTAAATACTCATCAAGATGACCAATTGCAACATTCACACTTACCTCAAGCAGACATGAGTTCTTTTTCCCACCCTGGACATTCCACAGATATACAAACCCCACTTGCCTAGTTACAAACAGACCTCACAGCCTCTTGAGGATGCCTGCCATAGATGTGGGTGAAACATCAGGTGAGAATGCTTCACCAAGCACCAAAGAGCATTCTG